GTACCAAGCAATTTGTTTATTTGTCATGTATTAAGCGTAAAATTATTATTCCAAAATTACTGATACTTGCATGATTATTTTACCAGAAGTGCTAAATGCTGGGGATAACTGTTGGAAACATTTTTCTTGGCCTTCATATAACTCATCAATAACTTTACCAATGAACTTATGTCTCTGTTAGCATACTTTCCAGATAGTTAAAGAATCTACTTGAATATTACACTATGCATGTATATGTAAGTGAATCAGTAATACTTTTTGTCTTTCTTTGCACCAAAAGTCACAAAAAATGAATTGCAGTACTTTAAATTTGCATCAACAAGGTGCATATGGTTATTCGTTATAATAATATTCTTTATCATTCTCTATTATTATAGATTTAATTAAAAAACTTTTAATAATTTTCAACTGACTAACACTTATATATTGCTCAAAAGGATTGCAAAGCAAAGAATTACAAACCAAATTAGCAGTTCTCTTGTGAAGTGGAATCTAAAATAAGAATTGGTATTGAGTGCAACGTGCAGGATCATGCAGGGGCTAACCTGGTATTGTGTGTGTTCAATTGAAAATTTTTCTGAGGTTTTTCAATTAGACATTTCAACTCCTTTTGTACTTCACAAATATCTGTCAATCCATCCACTAGTTTTGACAACTTTTTTTGATGCAATCAATCTCAACAACCTGGCTGTCGACCATCTTTGCATTGTAGTCCAATACTCCGGCCAATGGCTTAAAGTGGCCGGATGGTTACTAGGGCAATAAGAGACTGCTAAAGGACGAACCTTGACAGTTAGTTTCTCACAGGGTTTTTATCTGGGACCTGTCCATCTTCAGTGATGCTTTCACTCACACGTGCTAAGTTGTAAAATGCGTGGTTGTTGATATTAACATAGATACCGTTGAAAAAAGTGTTTTATCATAGATTTCATGATTTGTAAGTTTTGGTAAAAATATTTGTTAATAGGTTCGTATTGCAAAATCTGTTATTTAAATTGCTCTTACAATTTCAAAGATAATAAGCATCTCAATGCTCAATGTCAGAAGGAGAATAAGACTGGGTTTTATAATTGATGCAAAACTAGTAATGATTTCAGTGAACCAATGCCTGAGAATTGTGATTCCGAGGAATTACTTAATGCAGACAATGATATATGGCTACATGATGTTAATAGTGACAAGTCTTTCATTGATGATGGGACCTTATTGAAGATAGGGTGAATGTAGAACGATCAATGCATGCTGACAATTATCATAATACATGTACATGTATGGTACATGTATAATCATTTGCAACTTAAACATCATGCATGCCAATTATATAGGCAGTTTGTGATGAGGATTGTTATTTTAGTCATATGAATGACCAAGAGCTTATGAATGGTGTTGACAATATTTGTGGTATATTCACAATCTAATATTATACTTTTAATTACCAGCTTTCAATTTATAAGGCCTGTTGGAGAAAACAGTGGAAGATGGCAATGATTCAATGATCTATGCATCATCATTCATGCTTCTCCATTCACATAGACCATTACTACTTAATTTTTGATACTGAATTAACTATAACACTGCTGAGTGAAAAGAAATTGTGACCATAATTGACAGAAGGTACCTTATGGTGGGTAGTGAAATTTGTCTTTGTAGCCAAAGAAATGCAACTTCCTGAGCCTCATTTATTATACAATTACCCCACAATATGCAAAAAATTCCTATGTAACTTTGGAATCAATGCTTGTCCAACAGAGGACTCACAGGATGATATTTGTCATTTTAATGATTAATTTTGAAATCCGCCATAAGGTACCTTTTGTCAATTACGGTCACAATTATGTTTGTAAGAAACTGAACTCAGCAACACCGTTTCTTCCAAACAAAGAATTTTATGCTTCCTGATGTACTATAGTCTTAATCACCAAGTGGTATACCATTGTATCTAAATTGGCCATCAAGTTTTATTTCTAAGTTATGAAGTCATGATAGAGTTTGAATGTCCCATTTTCAAATTGAGTACAAAACTATTTTTCTTGTGTCAAGCATTGAATTATTAGTCTAATTGCACATCTTTTCACCAATACTTGTCGTTTTTCCTTTGATTACATGTCTTTTATTGATCACGTTTCATTTTTTTTGTTACATTATATACTGCATAAACCATAACTCAAAACAATATCAGTTACTTTATTAAGTTTACTTTTTCACCGTCAGGGTTAAAAATTGTTAAATCATCCCGCGGTGAGACGTTTCATTCAATGAGATAGCTGCAAGTGTAGTTGCTATCATCAGAACAGTACAAGCATACATGATCAGTTTATTTTTAAATGGGACAAAAGGACACTTCAACTGCCTGTTCTTATTCTAAGCTTCATAGTACATGTTAACTTTTAGTCAAAATGCAGAAGAGTAATTTATAACTCTTGTTACAAACATAAATGAAGAAAAATAATTTGTAATTGTGGTAATACATACTAGAGCATATCTCTACACATCTTGCAAATAATTTGTAGCTTTCCATTTTTCAGAAGTCACAAAACAAGGCTAAAAAGAGAGCCTACTAAAACAGCCTCGAGACCACGCTCACCAACCAAAGTGAAAAACAAATGCTTGAAAACAAAGAAACATACCATATTGACGTAATGTCTTGTATAGATTCTACTTGAGTAATCCCATAAGTTTTAAGTTTGTTCTCCAAAAAGCAAGCGAGATGTGGGAGAAAATGCACCCCTTTTTTTTAGTTTCTTCAAGACCACACCCAATTCATTTCTCCATTGGTAGGGTTCTTACTGAAAAAAGGAAGAGTCTTACAGTACCAGTTTTATTTCATAAACTTTTAGTCCACAACAGTATATTTTCAAAAACAGAATAAGTTTGGCTGTATCTTTCATTATAAATATAATAAATAATAATACAAATCAATGAATTAAACAAATAATTGTGATATCTGGTATTCCTCGAGGGCCTTGTTTTGAAAATACAGCAAGAGAGTACCATGCAAGATTTTTCAATTCTGTCTTTGCAGATAAGTAAACTACTATCTTTGCAAAATAATAGGTTAGTAAAAAGGGCAAATTAAGCATTTTTGTTGCATTTTTGGATCTCACTTGCAATTTTTAAAGTTTATAACTGCAAAATGAAGCACTTAGTAATTGCCTTCTCGTAAAAAAGTGTTAAATTCAAAATAATTTGTTTGTCATCTTGGTGAAACATTTTTTTAATAGGCTTATCAAATAATGTCGAAAGACAAAAGGAGAATACCCCATGAATTTTGATTGATATTTTTGAAAAATCTGCTGGGCAAAGTGACGTTATTCTCAAAGAAGTAAAAGATTCGTACCCTGAAGTTTACATTGAGAGACCTGATTGATTTTACAATACTATTAAAAGGATTGTTTCTCCAACTGTTCCTTCTATTATTGATGGAAAAATTACAAAGAAAGAAGATGCCTTAAAAACATGTAAAAGAGAACATGGGTCCCAAAAAATTAAGAACACAAGTATAAGCAAAAATTAAAATCAAATAAATAATTAATAGTTAATATTTTTGCAACAAATGACTGGTTCTGTTCCCGATGATTCCATTTGTAGTTTTCTTGGATTTGTTTTAGGGACACAATTAAATACTGCTTTAGAAATTAAAGCAGTTTTATCCAATGAAGAAGAAATTTTTGATCATGATCATCATTTAAATGTTCCATCATTTATAGATCCTCACTATGCACCTCGGAATATGAAAAGGAGGGAAATCAGAAAAATCAGGAGAAATCATTCATTGAGAAGTGAAATGAAGCAACTAAAGCAAAAAGTTTCAGATTAAGAAAAAGTCAGGTAGAGCAAGAGATTAAAACTGTTAAGAATTGTAAAGACAAATCACTGAAGCGTTTGGAAAAGCAATGTGAACTAAGCAGTGTCGGAGCTGAACCCGGGCCCGGGCATCAATGTGGAACTTTAATGATATTCATCATTTTTAATTATTATTCATGTTCATTTTTTTTAATTATTTATATTCATTATTTTTAATTATTATTCATAATTATTCATTATTTTTAATATTATTCATTTCTGTATTAATTAAATTCATAATCAATTATCTATACCAAGAGTGTGTGTGCTTGTGTGCCAAACAAAGTGGAAATGAGTAGACAGCTGTCCTTGCTTAACTACATGGGTGCCAGAAACCCTACTAGAGCTGAAAGAGTAGCCGGTTAGTGTCAACAATAATAAATATTTTTTTATACCTGAACATAGATCATGTAGATGAGACTCACGAGAGCACTCAGTCAACTGAGGGGTCAGTGGAACGTAGTTCAAGCCATCCAAGATCCAGTGGTACTAGTGAAGAAGCTGGTAGTACCTGTACAAGCAGCAGTCAAGTGGTACTAGATGATATAGCCTCATCCACATCATCTCCTTGTCAACCAAATCAAATTTCCTGTGATTTACTTTTCTGGGAAAGCTCGCTCTTTTAATCCAGACTGGTTTAAGCTCTATCCATGGTTGGAGTACTCTGTCAGTAAGGATGCTGTTTTTTGCTATGCATGTCGCCTTTTTGGTGCAGCTAGTATTCACTTAAGCAGACCAGAAAGAGCTTTTACTACTACAGGTTTCCGAGATTGGAAGCATGCCACTGGTCAAAAGGGTATTCTGGTCATCCACAATAATTCTCTTTCCCATAAACAAGGTATGGTTGCTTGGGAGCAGTTTAAAACGACCCATGACAGAGGATCAGTGGCAGAGCAATTGGGTAGTAATCGACCTGAACAAATCAGAAAGAATAAGCATTACATCAAGAGTATTGCTGAAATCCTCCTGCTATGTAGCAAGCAGGAAATAAGCTTCAGGGTCATGACGAAACAGAAAGTTCCTTAAATAAAGGTCATTTTTTGGAAATTTTAAATTGGCTGAGTAAGCATGACCCAATTGTGAATGAAAGGCTTTCTCATGGTCCAAGGAATGCCAAATATACATCACACATGATCCAGAACAACATCATTGCTGTCATGGCTACTCTGGTAAGGAAGAAGATCTGCAGTTCCATACAGAAGGCAGGGTTTTATTCACTAATGGTTGATGAAACTAAAGATCTTAGTAAACAGAAGCAGATTTCATTCGTAGTCCGTTATGTAGATGGTGATACAAAACCTGCTGCAATTAAAGAGCGATTTCTAACCTTTCATTCAGCTGCTAGCCTTGATGCAGAATCTCTTACTCAGTATATTCTTAATACACTGAGCAATTATAACCTTGACCCTCAGCTAATGGTATCACAGGGATATGATGGAGCTGCTGTGATGAGCGGTCATTGTTCTGGAGTGCAGCAATGTGTGAGACAAGTAGCACCACATGCAATATATGTGCATTGTTATGCACATATCCTCAATCTGGTCCTTGTGGACTGTGTGAAAAACAACTCTTTTGCTTCTGAGTTCTTTTCCTTGCTTCAGTCATTATATGTTCTACTGTCCACCAGTAAAGCCCATGTTGTCTTCATTGACAAGCAAAAGGAGCTTTATCCTAATAAACCAACTAAAGAACTCAAACGACTGTCAGACACACGTTATGCCTGCCGTTCTCTAACCCTTGATGTCATTGCTGGTACCTATGACTGCATCATAGCTACTTTGGAGCACATCGCTGAAGATGCAGACAAAGCAAAAGCCATAGAAGCAGCAGGTCTTCTTCACCAAGCTCACAGCTTTAAGTTTCTTGCTTGTTTAATAATTTTTCAGAGACTTATGAATATCACCAAGTCTTTATCAGATCAGCTTTAGAGTAGAACAGTTGATTCAGTGCATGCTGCTGGGTTGGTTTTTTCAACTACTCACACTTAGAAGGATTTTCGAAGTGACAGTGTCTGGGACCACACATATAAGTACATTTGTGATGTTGCGTCATTAAATGGCATTGAAGAAGACACAGTAAATAGTAGACAACGAAAACGACCGAGGAGAATGGAAGATACCATCACCTTTGTTTCAACTGGAAGACGTGATTCTTTGAGCTGCGGTCAGAGTATTAAACTCAATATATATTTTCCTGTCATTGATCATTTGCTATCTGAGTTTGATCGCCGTTTTTCAGCCTCAAACCTAGATATTATGAAATCACTTGATGGTTGTAATCCTCTGTCCTCTAAATTTCTAGACTCGGCATTGCTCTGCACTTTGGCTCAGAAATACAATCTCAATCATGAAGTTGAACTCCTCCCAACTGAATGTTTGCTTGCCAAAAGAGCTCTAAAAGAAAATGAAAAAGGACCAGAGTCAGTTTTAGAAGTTTACCATCAACTCTTACCACTAAAGTCTGCTTTTCCAACACTAACTAAGATTTATAAGTTTGCACTCACCATTTTTGTCAGCACGGCCCAGTGTGAACGATCTTTTTCAGCCTTAGCTAGAGTAAAGACACATTTGAGAACAACTATGATGGACCAGCGACTTGCTGACATCTCTCTTTTGACCATTGAACGTGACTTAACAAGTGACAGCAATTTTTTGGAAGACACAATTAGAGAATTTGAAGGAGTTGACAAAAATAGGACAATAATATTATCTTGACAATGAGTAAATTAATAGGCGTCGTATTATCATGAATAAAAATTATCATTAAAACTGTGCATGATTATGATGTGATTGATGATGAAAATGGCACAAAGCGGCGTCATTTAGCAATAAAAAGGGGGTGTGGCCTAAATCGCGGCATGCTTTGCGCGCCCAAAACTCCGCCCTCTTCACACGCCCTACCATCACTGAAGACCCAGCTCCGCCACTGGAACTATGTTCTTTAGATTTTACGAAACTACAAGCTGAATTTGAGACATGTATGTGAAACACATGATGACATAAACAACTCTACCTTCTCATACTTCTCAGTCTCCAGCTACCTTTCAAACTAAGGATGGAAGAAGATATTCTCCGATTATATGAACACTTTATATTATTCACTTCTAATATCACAAGTCCCACCTAATAAAATCGCAAAAAGCATTAAAGATATCCTTTCAGCATCTTCTCCAGGTATGGATATCACCACAATAGAGCTACCTGCTGAAAGTTGTGCTGGTTATTAGCGCCGTGAAGAGCTTAGAACTGTCAGCTTGGCACATCAAGCAACAGTTCTTTGTGATGCTAAGGAGCTATATCTAAATAGTGATGGTACTACCAAGAATCAGGGCAAGTTAAATGCCACTGCATTCAATGGTGTGGTGATATCAGTAAGCGAAATTCCAGATGGGAAAGCAGACACATGCAGTTATATAGGATATAGATCAGCAATTCAAGAAACTAAAACGAATCACCGATCAATTGGGGACATCAAGCTCTAGCACACTTAACTGGTCTATCATTTGTTCCTCAACATTTGACTCTCATCTACTCAAAAACATAAATGATTTACTAGAACAGTGTAAAAAAGAAGAATGTCAAGAGTTGCCAAATGCAAATCAGGAGAGCTTAGAGATAGCAAAAATTTTTGTGCCATACATTTAGAAGTTAATTTACGAAAAGCCTTTGTGGCAGGGCAAGCATCAGAATACCATAAAAGTATTGATACTTTTGTATACAAGTTCTGTAAGTTATTTGGCTCACATGACACTCCTGAGTATGCTTTTGGTCGTATTCAGTTTCAAGATTTTTTGAAATATATCATCAGTGAATGTGATAACAATGAATTGTATTATCAAGCATGTCTTAATATTACTATTTCTCGCCAAGTTGGCAGTCAGTATTTCATCACTTTACATAATGCAACAAAGATTATTTTCTTAGTTGCAGCTGCTTCAGAATTTCTTACCTTTACTAATAAGTGTGACGATGGAAACAAGTTAGAAAAAGATGTATTTTCTAAGCTCTCGGACACCAATCTTTTAACCCTATTAAAGGCTGATGCGTTAATTTTTCTCTATGTTTACTCTGATTTAGTACTTTTAGCAAAATCTAACACTAGAATGAGTAGTAATGTATTTAAGTAACCATTTAGGCCTTGCAGGTTTTGGTAACTGGTTGAAGTAAGCATTGTATGTGAGTATGTCTAAGGTATTGACACCATGGATAATATGACAACACTGCCTTGACTAGGCATGCATTTGATGCACATGGAAAGGATTCCAGGACAGTGAACATTCTTTACACATATAAGTAAAAAGGGCAGTGAACGTTAATGTATTTTATAGATAGAAATGTTTGATAAAATTATTATGGGGTCTATAAAAATGAAAGTAAGTAATGCACACATACTCAGTACGGGGTGTAACAGTAAATAGCAATTTGTAGCAGTAGTATAACAGGTTTAATAACATTAATGACTAGAATAATGTATGTTCAACGATAAAAGGACAGCTTTTCCTTATACTCTAGTTTTAATGTAGGCCAGCTACCCAAAAAGAGTAGATCGAGGCCCTGTTATGCAGCACAATTTGGGCATTAAACTTATATCTTTTTCCTGCTTTTGTTTAAACAGAAATGCAAACAAAACCATAAATTAAGCAGGGCCTATATTAATTATGCAAATCCATTCAAAAAAATGTAACAGGGTGAAGAAGCAGTCAATCTCACTAAAATAAAATTTCATGATTTGTTTCACCTAAGGCTGCGTTTACACAGCAACACAACGCTGCCTTCAGTTCTATAGAGTTCTATCACGTTTTTGTAGTTTTATTTGTTTGCATGTAAACTGAAGCATGAAATAGGCACAAAACCATACAAATCGCATTGCTGTGTAAATGTAGCCTAAATTTAAAAAGGTAAAAGAGCATACATTATAATATCTAGTGTATAAAAACCATATTTGTAAACATTAATACTAAGACACTCTAATTACATGTACAGTGAACATCAAATGCCAACAGTAATTAACTTTAAGTTAATAATTAAGAATTATAATGAAAAATGTAGACTTACATGCAAAAATTTATAATGACCAAGATATTTCAGTTATGTGGACAAAGCCATAATATCTGTTTAATGCAATGGATCGACAGCTACTAAATCCATGATGAATGGCAATGTAGAATACTTTCAAATAAGTCAAGTACAATGTAGCTGTTACAGTAATAATATTGTTATAGCAATTGTGTGATCATTAACCTCAGACTTTCAACTATAGAATATGATGCATTCCACACAAAAGTTAGTACAG